TAATTACTCTCTTTTAGTTGCCTAGATTTTCTTTTGAGATGAATTTTCTTGACTAAAATACAGACTAGAATTGCTGCCTTGCTCAAAAGGTAAATCCCCATTTCTTTCTAGGAATTAGCATTTTAATCAAGTGGATCTCAGTTCTGCTGGTTAGGAACAACAGGTATGAAAATATTAAGGGAGGTGCAAAGCCATAATGATACGAAGGCACAAAGATATGAATTAAGATGTAAAGATAGAGATTGGAATTTAAAGTTTCATCTTGAAATTGTGACAATCTGCAAAAGGTTTTTCAGACTGTTTTTCTTAGGCCAAACTACAAAATATTTGAGCCAGTGATGCTTGTTTGGCTACAGCTGAAATCTTTAAATGCCAGTTGTTTACAATTGTCTTAATTCTTCTGTTTGTGTCGCAGCAACAATATTCCAGGGAAAAGGCTCTTAGCACTTTGCTCATAGTGAGACAGACGTATCTCAAACTGTATCAGTTGCTGGCTGTATACGAGACACAAAGTGTAGAAAGAGGTAGGTTTCTGTGATGGCAAGAAATGTCATTCAAGGTGCTGTAATTTCAGGACACAATGAAGTGGCACTCAAAGAGTTTGAAATGATATTAAAAGATGTGGTTGTAAAAGATTTAGGGTCAATTTTATTTAGGATCCATCTAATTTTCCTGGCTTCTTCCTATGGATATTGGATTGCTGGATTGCTCAGTGGTGCACCTTCCCCACACATCCTCCTTACAACGGTGTGACCTTTGGCACATGAATACTTCTATTTTTTTTTTTTTTCTCTGAGAGCCCACAATCAGCAATTTAATTAAGGTAATTTAATTTGTCTTCAAAACAATGCATGATGCATTTATTAAGGTAACTTAATTTGTCTTCAAAACAGTATTATTCATTCTCCCTAAGGCACGAAGCACATAGCACAGAAGGTAGAAAACAACATCAGAGGTACATGACTTTTACTCACACGCTCATCTTTTTCCCTGCCAGATTGTGTACTTTTCATTTTCAGCCTCAAGAAGCATTTGTGTAGCATTAGCAAAACTGTTTGTTCTGTGCTTTCCCTTGCCTTGTATCTCCCTTCCTTTCATACACAGCCCCTGGACTGCTTCTCTCAGGTGAATCAGAGGACCAAAATTCACAAAGATTTTACGATTTTGTAGTGTGATATTTCTCAGGCCTGGAAAAACAGTGATATTTACCAGTGTTGCAGTCAAGGTGTTATCTCTTATGTCCACAAACTCTTTAAATTTGATAACTTGGTATGTGCTAAGCGACTGCTTCTCTTCTGTTTGATCCCTTCCATAATCCTACTGACCCAACTACACGACAAGTATCCCCATCTCACAAATGCCTTTGTGGAATTCACTTTAAAACTAAAAATATCAGGAAGACTTTTTTTTGTTTCCTTCTGAAACTGCTTATTCCAAAATAATAGCCTGTGATACCTTCTTCTCATCAGCACCAGATGCAACAGTATGATAAATCACTATAGAAGATGAGATTTTCTAAAACTTGAAAGATTTGATAGGCAGCATGTATCATGTGAACATTTTGTGTTACAGGTAAACTGTATAGCCACACAGACTGACCTTAGTAAGTTATTTTGGACTAATAGAGTGCTGTTGTTGAGAGCACACCCACACAGCACAAAAATATCCCAGTAATGATAAAAAGCGCTTCAAAAGAAACTGCTTTAAGTACAGTTCAGCTGTGCCTTAGCTTCATATAATTCCCACTTCAGTGGTAGATACGAATGCACTTCATTCCAGGAACTTGTTATGCAGCAAAGAACATGCAGACCCTGCCTTTTGGCTCTGCTGTTTTTTTCTTGGTGATGCTGAATACTTAGAAACTGAAGAGGCCCTAGAAGTTCACACAGCAGATAGCATTTGTAATGAGGTCCTTAAAATATGTGCATCCCACGCATGTCTCCCATTCAGAGTAACCAGGAAATCATCCTCACATCAGATCCCATTTAAAGTCTTCCCCTGAAGATCCTTCCACGCTTTGGCAATTCCAACTAGCAGAGATGAATTGTCATGAGCACACATTTCACAGAATTCAGTTCTTTAACTGCAGCAATAAAGGTATAAAGGAGCGATGTCTGGCCAGGAATATAAGTGTGAGGTGATTCTCCCATCTCATACAAGGCCAAATTACTCCTTTGGGAAGAATTTGATGAGATGGGACTGCCTCTGGACAGCTGCATAAAACTCAGCCTCTCTTTAGGCAGCAACTTTGCCTAGCACCCAGAACGGGAAAATCAAAGCAGTCATAAGGAAGCCCCACCTATTGTACAAAACATTCCCATTAGTCTCTCCATGACAAAAAGCTGGGAGTTATTTTGCTGCGTAGGTGGCCATGGGAGCAGTGCAGTTATCATCACAATATAGCAAAGGAAAAAGAGCTTTCTCTAGGAATTGGGAAGAAGCTTCTGGGACATCCCAGAATATCACAAAAAGCAGCAATTTCACAGCCAGAAATAAACCTTCCTGAAACAACATTACCAGCAAAGAACAGCATAAACCTAAAAGTCATGGAGAAAAAAAAAACCTAAAATCTTTTCTTTCTGAGCGGGAGAAAAGAAATAGAATAGCACATACAATTTGTAGCTTGACTCTCGTGTCAGAGGTTTGGCACCCTTCACACAACTGTGAGGATACATAACAAGTAAAGTTGGTGGGGCAGAGCTGAGATCATGCTGTTAGATCTTTTCTTTTGGAAGAAGTTCCAGGTGAAAGCACAACTGGAAGCTGGCAGCACCATGGCAGTCCTGCTAGCAACATGCAGTATCTCTTTGTTTACCTCGTTGCTTTGCCTGGCACGGGTGCCAGCTGCATGCATGGAGCCACATTCCAACTCCAGTCACACTGGATCGAATCCAGGGTCATGTCATTGACTTCAGTGAGTTATTCTTTATTCACGCTTGCCTAGCTATGAATCTGGCCTGTTCATCAAGGTAAAAGTATCTAACTGAGACTTTCAAATTAAGGGAACAAGAAGAACAAGGATGTGTAGTGCGGAGGGGAAACACTTTACATTATAAGGGTTAGAGAGGACCTTTATTTAAAGAACTTTATCAGCATTTTAATGATGGGCCACTGGAAAGAATATCTGCATGTTGCATAGGCTTATTTACTTTCACCCCCAATTTGTTATTTTGAGAAAATGGAAAGAAAATCGATATAGGTTTGATTTTTAATATTATCAAAATAAAATTGTTACTAGTTTTTACAGAACACTAACTCATTATGCTTTTATTAGTGGTTTGGATTAGTGCTTCTTCCCTTTAGGATTTCCTCTTTTCAACTAAGAAGGCCTCTCTGACAGAGTACTTGAGATTCAGGATTTTCACTGTGGGTGTATCTTTTGTGTTAGAACCAAATTCTTTGGGAAAAAACATTGTCTTTTGCTCTACTGGAAAAATCTATGGTGTTCCAGCTGTAGTGACCAACAAGAGGTAGAGGAAAGGGATGAAGACAAAGGAAATTTATCACTGTTATATTTCAAGTAAGTTCAGATTCACCCCAGCCATGGCTCAATACCATAAATCTGCCTTTAGAGATTCCAGTGTTCTAACAAAAACTCTTCAACAAATGAAGTAAGAGTACCGAAATGGTAGAGAATTACTCTAGCAGTTCATTTGTTAAAGAAATACTGACATTTACTTTGTACTTGGCAATGGATTGAGTTGCCTCTTTGCCAGCTGTATAAAGTTGGTACACGTCCCACGTTATGTGCTCTGACTAATTCTGCAGAAATGCAGTTGTATGCCCACACCTCATTTGGATGCTGTTTATGTTGCTGCGTGATCTGGAGGTGTCCAGATGCAGACTAATGGCAGTGGAAGCACAAGGGATGGGATTTCTGCCACACCTACTTAGCAGTAACACACCACTAATTTTTCTTTGGATTTCACCTGGGTCCACTAGAATATAAGAGTATGAACTGATGGAATATGTTTGCCAAGGCTCAGAAATGTGAAGTTGCTTGTTTTCTAAGCAAAAATCATACTGTATATTAGTGCTGGAGTACCTAGAGATAGCGGTGGGGCAATCTGTCTGGCTTCAAAACAACTATTTAAAAGCACGTGTCCCAGTTTTTATTAACATTCATGTGAATCCAGAAAAGGTCTTTGCACCTCAGATTGTGTATAAACAGCACAGTGTCATAGGGATTATTGGGCAGTTCCCACAGGAAACTGAAAATAACACAAATATGGGGCCACTAACTGCCAACTCAGGTTTGGACTTTTGAGCTGGATATCAGCCCCTACAGCTTTCCCACGGAAAACTATTCCACTATTCCTATTTAGCTCATGTGAAAAAGAGCAGGCTATTAATGTTTTACCTACAAGAACAAGCCTCCTGTGCACAAGTGCTACCTATCTCTTTGTTAAAATTATTTCTATAAATCTGCGTCCCAGCGGACAATACTGTCTTAAACTAATTTCCTGCAATCATCATTAACTGGCCAGCTTGCTAACACCTGGTACCAGCAGCCTTCCCACCTCACAAGTGCAGTGCCACACAATGGTAACAGCAGGTTTTCTCCTAATCCCTCTCCATACACAAGAAACCAGCAAATGACACTCATGACAAAGACACGCAGACCGGCCTGACATTTGCTGATAATTCCCAGGAGATTCTCCATCAGCACAACCAGTCCTGCTCAGACACATTTTCCAGTGGCGTGGATAATTTGAAACCACGTCCAGCTGGACTAATTGCATGCACTGAAAAGAGCATCTTCCTTCACAGGACACGACTATGAGTGCAGCCGCAAATGCAGTGAGCACTCCGTGAAGTTTCCCAAAGCAATCATTAGTTCATCTCAGGAGAATTAGCAACAGCTCACTCCATAATGAAGGAAAGTTATTGTGCAGATATATACACTTCATGCAAAGTTTCCACTTTAAAAAAAAAAAAATTTGAAAACTGATGTTTAAATTCCACTCACAGTTTTGAAGTGTAAGCATAAAACTTCTTACTTTGCAGTTGCAGTTCCAAGCCGCCTGGAAAAATAATGCAGTCCATCAGATAGTCTGGTTTTCTTTTCTTGCATGAAAATATCATCTGTCATAGGCACAGGAGCTGACTTCAAGGACCGGCCCCTTCTGCTGAGCACACCAATCGGGAGACCTTGGGAGCACGTGTGGAAAAGCACAGCCCTGCATGCCTGTGACAGGCAGCATATGCTCTGTGTGACCGTGCTGCCGCAGGAACACTGGTGTCAGTGAAACACGGTGCTCCAGGGGCTGCTCGGCTCCGCAGCCCCCCGGGCAGAAGGCAAAACAGTGGGCTGGGGAGGGGGGGGGTGGAAATCCCTTCCTTGACAGAGGAAAGGCAGAGCTGTTTGCCAACCATACCAGTGCTACTGCTCCTTAAAGTCAGCCTTGCTCCCTTCCTTTTGGCCTGATTTCTTAATGTTTTAATAAAAGCGCTTCCCATTTCTCCCCCTCTTCCCCCCCCCCCCCCATGCTTCTTCAGTCTTTCCTTTTAGTTTCTGTCCTTATCTTATTACAACTTTTTATTCCAGATATCATCTTTGAAAAACCATGCAGGTGGAAAAATCCCGGGCACAGCACAGCCTCTCCTCTTAACATGCCATGGACAGCTGTGCCAGTGACCCTGCACTCCATGGTCAGTCAGTCTTTTGGGCTTAGTCCTCCCTTTTCCCTGAAAGCCTGCACTCTCTCCTGCCTAAAGTTGGCAGCCTGTATGCTCCCTGCTTTTCTCTGTCTCCACATGTAGCTTCACAGCTTTGCTCTATGCCTGCTAATGAGAGGTCATTTTGCATTTGCATCTGTTTAAGCTGATGACTTTTAAATCCACACTACTTAGAAACTCTACTTGGAGACACACACCCATGGCTTCTTGGCTAGCCATGTGCTAAGCCCTCACTTATAACAAGAGGTTAGAAGAATGGACATTATTGCAGCCTGAAAGCACAGCAATAATGCAGTGCACTAACTCACAGATCAAAAAATACACACATGAGCAGGATGAACTAACATCTGTAGCTTTGGTTTCACTACTGCAAGCTTATTTACAAGTCGCAACGTGTTGGGAAGGGAAAACAGTCAACACAACAGCGCAAAGTTCTACTTCTTCCAGTTATGTACGAGACCTCAGGGCCTCGCCACCTTGCAGCTCCCAGTGCTGTTTGTATTCATCCAGTGGAGTAGTTTTATTTGATAAAATAGCCTTGTTTACACAGGTTGGTTATAGAGAGAGCTGGATGTAATGAAAAATGGTAGCTCTATTCTGTGAGCAACTTGTTGTTTTAATGAACTTAATTTTGCTTCTAAACTCACAGAATCATAGAATTGTTTGAGTTGGAGGGGACCTTTAAAGGTCATCTAGTCTAACCTAGGATAGCAGATTTGTAACTCACCACAGAGTCATTCTACAATGCCTTTCCCATGACGGATACGAGGTTGATGAAAAACCTACACAAAGCGCCTTTTTCCACCCTCAGAACCCACCAGATTCTCAGAGGAAAAATTCCTGCAGAAATGCCCCAATGTATGATGAACTTCCGTCTGTAACAGCATGTCCTCGCTGGGCTCGGATGGCATTTCCCATTTTAAGAGACTGCAGCCAGAGGGCCTGGAGCAGGGAACAGCTCGTAGTCAGAGAGAATCAAGGACCTCAGCAGAATGATCTCCTTTATCAGCCACTGCTGGGGTGGGGAGGAGCACGACTGCTGCCTTTGGGATGTGTGAGGCCCTTTTCAGATCTACAACAAGGAACAGACTTGTTCCATGTTCCTAGATGGGGACGTTTTGTGCTGAGGGATCAGAGCAGAACTGGCTGGACACTTTCCTGCCCAGCCCAGGCAGTGCTTTGCAGTTAGGTCAGCCTCCTCTGCCTGTTCTCATTCTTTTTCACATGATATAAAAGTTCCTTTTTTATTTTTGATCTTACTCAGGGTTAAATTCCGAAAACCTACAATTCTGCCCCATCCAGCCCAACAAACAAATCTGTGCTGGCATGCCGGAGAGCTGGCCCCAGCCTGCATGGCCATGGAGACAGTGACACAGCTGGCCCGCAGTCATGCCGCGCCTTGGGAAGGAAGGCCTCATTGTGCCCTCTCTGCTTAACACCCAACCTATGCTGGTTTCCTTCTCTGGAGATTTTCAAAACCCACCTGTACACCTTCCTGCTCAACCTACTCTAGGGACCTGCTTTTAGCAGGGGGTTGGACTCGATGATCCCTTCCAACTCCATGCTATGATTCTATGACTACAATGGCTGATATTCAACCAGCCACCTTTCCAGCCATGTCATCTTCCTCTCCCTGTTTCCTAACCATCACTGTGTGGCACCCTGAAGGGCATGTATGCCAATCTCTCTGGACTATTGCATTTCACCAGCAACTCTTTTCCCTCAATTCCCCACATATATATTTTTTTCCTCTTCCTATAGTCCTGATTATGTCTGGCTGTGCTGCACTTAATTCCTGTCCTCGGTATTTATGGCCTGCAAATATCTGTAGACTTACTGTGTCATCTCTGAGTTGCTGCTTAGCTAAGCTTTATGTATTTTCTCCCTCATTAATCAGTTTCTCCAGCCTATTTTTGCTGCACTTTCCTGTAGACTTTGCAGTTTTGTTCATTTTCAAAAGATAACCAAAGGTAGTTTAGTTTTTTCTTTTATTAAGGACAAGAAGGCTGAAAATAAAGGCACATTGAAGAGAGTTTAATGTATATTTGTATTTGAGCTGGCCAAAACAAAACTCCACACTTCTTTCCTTTTATTGGTCACATTCGTTTAGATGGTTAAAACCAAATGAAACCCTCATGTCGCAAACTTGTGCATTCTCTCTCATCAAGCACACTAATAACCCGCTGTCTGGGATGAATCCACTGATTCACAAGAGGCTCCCCAGACACACAGGTGAATGTGTGTCCAGACAGTTGTCTGGCATCAGGACCAGACCTTCAGAAGGACTTGAGAATCCAAGCAGCACCACTACTGCAGAGGTGGGATCTGTGCAGGCAAAATGCCTATCCCAGGAGGGGCTTCAGCCCCTGTTTGTAAATCAGAGGACAGTTCAGGCTGCTGGGTCAGTGGTAAGCTGAGAAGACTGGTACCTGCAGCCGTCTCTGTGTTTCTGTATCTGCCCTACACTACCCTGCAGCCACGATGCAAGCAGGCGTCTGAGTAAAGAGGAATGCATTGCAACATCCTATGATTACTACGTGTGTCTCTCCAACCTTTGCTATCAGACGCTGTGTGGTTGCCTATGGCACAAAGAGCACTTTACTCTGCTAAAGATCCCACTGCAATCTCACGATACGTACTGAGGCTTAGTGGGAAATGAAGAGGGGGGAAAAATTCCTGATTTTAAATGAGGTTTGATTATTCAGGGGAGCAGCAGAAGAATGTTTGTCAGGAGCCTCTGGCATTGCCCCAGACAGTTTTCTAACCTTCCTTCTTCTCTTCAGTGCCCCTAAATCCAGACTGTAACTTTAGATAAGTGAAATTCCTGCATAGACAATCAATAATCAGAGGGGAATTAGGAGCTGCTCACAGTCTGGTATATTTTGAGTACTTGGTGGGGTTTAGCTTCTATCAGATCCTGGGAAAAAGGGTAAAACTCCATATCTTGTGTATGACTTTCCCTGTCAGAGGCTTTTATCTTTGGACTCCAGTCTACCCATGTGGCCCAGGGGATGTACAGAGAACAAGACTATAATCTTACCTTACTTGTATGAGGGCTTATTTTTTTATTCACATGAACTCCAGCAAGCTATAATGGTGCCACCGATGTCAATTCTTCTTCAATCTCTCCATTAAGGATATTTTACCATTCAATGCAAATAAAAGCAACCTAAACAAACTCAAGATAAAAGCAAAGAAGTAAGCGCTTTAACAGCGACAGCTAATTGTCTTTTCATTAATTTGCAGGATCATATGTGAGGCCCGTTTTATGGTCCTTGTAAGTTGATGCAATGTGTGGCATGTTTTCAGTGGTTTTTCCAGCTCTTGAAATAACTGATACACAAAGTGCTTCATCAAAAACCTCATAGCAAAGATTTTTAAAGAATACCTGAACTGAGCTTGCTCACATTGCACACTGCTCTAGAAAAACTTTAATGACAATCTGAAAGTGGGCAAAACAAATGTCTATCAGAAATTCAAAACTCGTATCAAGACAAGGCAAGAATGCCTTCTGACCTGATGAACGGTTAATATGTTATATACTGATACCAGCATCATAAATGTATTTGATTTTTCTCTGGATATTTTAGTAACAAGAAATACAGCATCTCAGAAACTAATCTTCAGAATCACCCACCCCAGAAACTAATTCTAGAAAACAAACATAATTAACTGCTGAGTTCATTTTCTTCTTCTTTTTTTTTTTTTTTTTTTTCCTCCCCAGAAACTACAATATAATTTCTGGTGTAAAAGATTTTCATCTTTGCAGATCTTACATCATAAAAACAGTATTTAGAGAAGGATTCCAAATAATCTAGACCAAACATACAAGGACAACCAGTTCTACAAGTCAAGTCCCCCAGCTCCACTCAACAGTCCAGCACTTGTAAATGTGATAGTGCTGTCCACTTTCCATTAATATGCAGCTATCAGTTGGTGAGTCACACTATAAAGCATTTAACAACTGTTCTCATAAATACCATACACCATCTGTTAACGGAATCAAAAGGCTACATGCCAATTTATGTTTGGATTGAAAGGTCTGTTTTAAAATTATTCCAGCAGTCTTAGGGCATACAGATATTGTGAAAAATGACTAAAGAGATATGTCATTCCATGCAATTCCCAAAGAGCAGAGCTGAAAGAGAAAATATTTCTGGGGTGATATTTTGACATCTTACCATTTGTTCTCATCACAAGTCAGAACTACAGGACTTGAAAGTTTCATTATTCACAGAAGGACTTTTAAGAATTTTTAAGAAACATGTCTTGGTTGGGTCTCTGACTAAATTATGTCAATATTAAGCATTCTGACGTGCCCCAAATACAAAACAAACAAAGAAACAAACAAAAACTCATCTAATTTTGGTAGAATGACCTGAAATACTTTGTTCTG